TGTCAAATCAAAACTTATATATTTAAACTAACGCGTTCATTGTTTCGTATATACGCAACAATTTATAATCTTGGGGGAATTTAATAATTTTAAATTTCAACAATATTGTAGTCTTATTTTAATATTATAATTGTCAACCTCAAGAATATATAATTATTTAATTCTACTTTAAGAAAATTATAATCTTTGATTTAAAAATGTTACTTTCTATCCAACATTGTTTCTTTTCCATTCAAGAAAATTAAATCTTAAATGTATTCATAGGAATATATTTTTCTTGATTGAACTATATAAAATAGCTTCATTCAAGCAATCATATTTTCAAGTAAGCAATCATTCAAGCAATTATATTTTCCTTTAACTAACGCAATATAATTTCTCATTTCAAGATTTCCATGTTAAGACTACAAATATTTTCAAAACAAGAATGTCCTTTTTTTCTGTGCGCAAAACGCGGAGAAATGAAAGAAAGTCGAAGATGAAACGTGTCAGACATCGACATTGTAATTATTATCACACATGATAATAATTATATACTCCTTCCCATTATTCTCAGAATGATAATTAGGTTGCCGGCTGGTGGCGGCAACCTGTCATCGGGATACGACGACGGCGTCCTCTCGACGCCGGCTGGTCGGTACGCGGGCGCACTGGCGCCAGCGTCGTCTCCCCCACCTCCCGGCGATTTGTCCTCCCGGCCGGCCTTCTCTCGGAACCACGTCCTTCCTTGGGTGTGGTTCAGAGATTGTCGAGACGTCGTCCCTCCGGTCCAAGTGCGCGTCGCCCCGTGCCCATCGTCTCGGCCTCCTCGTCCCTTGGACGTCGTCGGCTTCGACGTCTCTCGCGCGCCTGGTTGCTGGAAACGAGGACGAGACGGTGCGGCGAGAGCGAGCGAAAGGGTGTACGGATAACTGGGAAGAGAGGGCGACGAGGAGAAGGAGGGACGAGCGGGGCGAGCCGCACGACGACGTTCAATCGATTCGTCTCGCGCCTCCAGGTTGCGTGCGTGCGTGCGTGCGTGCGTGTTTATTTCTCGTAGCACCCTGTTCCAAGTCCAGCGCGAGTTTCGGGGGGGTACGTTTTACCCGGGGGAGAAATCGATACGGGATCGCGTAAAGGAGGACTTGGAGAGTAGAACCGCGGAGCGAGCTCCTTCTTCGAGTTGACTCGCTTTGATCCGGGCCTTTCAGGGTTCTCCGACGTCTCCTCATCATCGGAGAACCCTTCTCGCGCGAGTCGCGCTTCGACGTGCGCAACCTGGCGGTGACGAACGGTGCTCTCGGCGGGTCTGCAAGTCCGTTTCGACCCAGTAGTGGTGGTGGTGGTGGTGGTGGTTGTGGTGTTGGCGGTGCTGGTGGTCGTGGACGTGGTGGTGGCTCTACCGCGAACGGGAGAGGTTATGTCGACGCGGGCTCGATGACGCTCCTCTGACAGCAGTGGCGGTGACGGTGGGACGGAGCGAGTGAGTTCCATCGATGCGTGTGAACCTTCCCTTCCGCTCCGACACCTTCGTAGGCGAGGACGCGTCGCCTCTTTTTCTCTCTCTCTCTTTCTCTCTCTGTCTCTCTCTCTCTCTCTCTGTCTCTCTCTCTCTTTCTCTCTTTACCTTTTTCTCCCTCGCCGATCGAAGCCGCCGCGAGATTCTCCCTGCTCGTCGAGTTAGTTAGCCGAGACAATGGCGTACGGAAAAAGCGGAAGAGCGATACTACGTGACGTTCTCCCCTGTCGTCAATAGCGCCCTTTCTCGTTATCGATAACGCGCGAAAGCCTCGAGAGATTCATCGGCCTTCGTATCTTACATTAACCGGGACGCTATTGGGGCTGTATATCAATTTGTTGTCTTGTGTCGACGCGATTTTAACAATGAAACTATAAGACTAAGGTGTGAATGTTTTGCTTTTCGAGAAAACTTTCACTAAAAAGAAGATGAAAATATTAAAAAAATAATTAATTTAATTCCACAGGTGATAATTTAGCTTTTTGCAAAGCTAAAGTTACAATCATTCATTTATTGATCCTTTTTTTTTAATTTTTTAATTTTTTTTATTTATTTATTTATACGTTGATTTTTTAATTGAACAATAAGCATATAGGTTATATGACACTGTTTTTTGATTGATGAATGTTAAATTCATATAATACTTCTATGTATGTGTCTGTAATAGTTTATTTTATTAGTAACGAATTGACATAAAACATTAATTTAATTATTAATTTTAATTATTAATTATTAATCTTGAATTTTTCTATTCTAATTGTTTTATATTTGCTTCACAATTACGTCATTCTTCTGACTGCAAGGATTTATGACAAAATTTCTTTAACCTTGTTTTTCTTTTTCGTGACCATTTTTCTTTTTATTTCCTCATGCGCAGATTATTTTCCCAAGGGTTGTTTCCGACACACAGTGTAGCCAAATAAAATTTTCTTTGTACTTAATTGGATGGATTCTTTTTCTAGTTAGCTGGCCAAATTAATTCACGTTATACATCCTAATTAGAATATATGGTTATTTTTTATCTTATTTGCGCTTGCGCCAAACTTGATTCTCTCCGGAAAACGAGAATACCTCGCGTTGGATCGACAACCCTCGGCTTCCCCAGGTCGCTAGATTTCGCGGAAGTGAAGAACATATCATGGATTACTCGATTGTTCGAATGTGATTATGCTAGTTTCGCATGGTAAATTTTCAACAACCAAAGTAATGTAATATTTGAAAATGCCTTGCTCTCGAAAAATTGATCATTTTATTATATGTAAGAAACATATAAATAAATTAACAAAGATAATCAATTATTCTGCGATTTAATAATATAGGTAAAAAAATATACATGTACTTGTTTAACATTTCCAAGAATATTGTTTTGCATAAATTAAAATAGAATAATCTTCGATCCTCCTGTTTAAATGGAATCAATTTTAAGAGAAACGTATGATCCATTATCGCTTTATATCTCAACAAAATGAAGACGATTGTTTTGAAAGCCTCTATAAAATATTAAAATAGAAGAGAAAAAAGTTTCATGGAACTTGCTAAATATAGCAAAGATTTTGTCTTAAAAAATGAGGCGCCAGTATCGATATACGGGATTATTCTCAAATGTCAATATTCTACGTTACTATTTATGACGATGGTTACATAAAATACAATGTGTATTTTTCCATAATAAAAATAGATAGCAAAAATTGGTAATCTATAGAATGCAAGTGGCGAACGTGTCAGTAGTTTTCAGTCAATTATTGGTTTTCCGAGTATCGATATTACATTGCAGTAACTAGTTGCATTGGCGTCGACCGCTCGCCGTCTGACAGTGATATACGTCGCGTGGCTGACGTTTTTCTCAAGGAAAAGTACGCGCTGACGGAAACTCGAATCTCGAATCGCCACAGGGGGGAAGAGGGAGAAAGAGAGAGAGAGAGACAAAGGGAGCCAGAGAGGGGGAGAGGTTGCGATAAAAATATCCGCGCACCCGTCACAACCAAAATATTTTTAGCGAGCCGATAATTATATTTTGTTTTTCTTCACCCACCCGCTTGGGTGCGTACATGCGTGCGTGCGTGTGTGCACGTATTGACGTATATGTGTGTTTGATAAAAGAGACACTCTGCCATTAACGTAAGATGACTATACGCAATTATTTTAATTAAAGCGCAAATGTCCTGTTATTTCAGACGAGTCTTTCCTTGTCAACGTGATGATACACCCTAGTTTATCAATTAGTATAATTTTTTTTTCTTCTATGCACGGTTTCCAGATTTTGAGAACGCGAAAGTTGCAATCGTGTTGTACGTGGGGTTTTTAATTTAATTTGTATCATTCTCCCTTTCTCAACAAAATGGAATGGTCTTTTTTTTTTTAATACGGATTATATTTTGTTGATGTGCAGGCTTTTTAATATGAATTATTACGTGCATCTGAAAATAACTATTTATTTTCACTGGCACATAACGCTCGAAAGCGGCACATGTGCCAATTAGCTAGACGAGCCAAAAGCAGCGATATAACAAATATTTATATAGGTTCGGGGGATCCTAATTTATTACTATCAGAGTATAGATACAAATTTAAAATTTTCCACGATATTTTATTATATTATTTGTATACAGGGGCGTATGCAGATTTTCTTTTCATACACCGAGAAAAAAAGTTGTCAACTTGACTGAACTATTCAACTAAATTATTATTTTTTTAATTGAAACATTTAACTATTTAAATTAAATAATACATATTAAATCTATAACATGACATTTAATTTAAATATTTCAATATTTCAATTAAAAAAATAATTATAATTAAATAAATATAATAATTATAATTAAAAATAATAATAGATTTAGTTGAACTATTTGGTCAAGTTAACTTTTTTTCTCAGTGTAAAAGATAAATCCATGCAACATCACACATTGGTGTTCAATTATAACTTATATAAATTAAAAACGTTATATGTTAAAAGGATTCGAACATTTTTCTTCATCGGTTTAATCGAGAATACGATAGTACAGAGAAAGAAAGAAATTATGGTTGATAACGCGTATGTCGTGCAAAGTCGACGCGATTATCTATTACAGTCATTAAGAAACCGCCGTAATTCTTGGATGACGTTTGCCTTTGGTATGTTGACTGTTCGTTTTCTTTGGGTCTCAGTAAAAGCCACGCGTTAAATACTCGCGGTATCACATATGATAAGTGGAGTTATTGTTAACTTAGCACTTCTAGGTTTCCTTCGCGAGAAAATGTGAAGTCTTAGAAACGTCAAACAGTGATATTTTAATTAACATTGGCGAGTGTTCAGTTATATTAAATTGAAAACATGTAACATGTTAAGAGGATTCAAACATCTCACTTCATCAGTTTGATCGAGGATACAAATACTACAAGGATAATTAATTCTCAGACTCATCTCTCACGAAGACTTCATTTATATACTCTAGATTTAAGATAATGCGAGGTACGTTATTACGACCAATTGAAATGACCGATTTGAAACATGGTGTTCCAGAGGTGGCAACGGTCTCGTCAGGAAGCGTCGAAGCTGGCGTGTGGGGCGGCGGAGTCAGCTGTGGTCTGGCTCTGATTCCGGTGGTAGCGGCGGAAGCGGAAGCCGCGAAGGCAATAGCGAAGGCAGCAGGAGGCGAGGAGGTGGGGCCGGGAGAAGTTGCTGGTAGCCCCGATTTTGTTGGGACACGGTGCGAACGTCATCCTCATTCCCATCTTCATCTACCTCTTCTTCTTTCACCTCGCACCCTGCCTTACGGGAGTAGGAAATTCGTAAGCGTTCGCCAGCGGCCACCAGGAGAGCTATCGACGGCGTGACATCGGCCCCGCGATCGGCCTTCCTCCCGTAGAGGAGTAAGCGCCGCACAGACAGGAGTCGCACCGCCATCCGTCATCATCCGCAGAAATTACATCCAGTGAGCCCTCTCCGAGGCGAGGCGAAGCGAGACGAGAGGAGAGAGCTTCCTCAGCCTTCCCCTCCGCGAGCGCGCGACATCCTAGTATTTTGGCCCCGCTAACGGGTGTTCATAAGCCTCGCGCGTCATCTGTCAGACACCATGAACGAGCTCGACAGCCTTCGTCAGGAGGCGGAGACGCTGAAAAATGCCATCCGGGTGAGTGTCCGTTTCCTCGCGCCAAGATTCTTCCTTATTTTTCTTCATGTTACATGATAAATGATATTTTTTTTCATTTAATTATAATTATAATTCTTTCGCGATTCGTATAAGATGTCAGAGGAAACTCTACTAATGAAAAATAATTATTTATCTTATTGTGATACCTCCAATTGCATTTGTTAAAGTAAAAATAGATTGTTCATGTATAATTATGATACGAATACTCGAAAAGCAAATTCATTAGATGCGACAATTTAACTCCGAATGAAGGGATCGAATCAATTAATTTTTATACGGTAGATTTTGCGAATTTATGTAACTCTCTTCCGCATTTCTTTATTCCTGACGTTATCGTAAATTTTAACCGGTAAAAGACATTCATCTATACTTCCCTCTTCTCCTTCTTTTACCTCGTTTGTATGGCGAATGATTTTCCATATAGTTGTGAGGATATAGAGCTGGCTAGGTGGTGGTAGTGTGGTGGTGGTAGGGCGCGGCATAACCGTCGCTTCTCTGATCAATACGCCACCATCCCTCTCTCTCTCTCGCTCCATGTCTTGTTTCTTCTCTCCATGTGTATTCGCCTCTCTTTCTTGTACGCGCTCCCCTCATCCCTGCCCCTTCCCTCTTATACATGCATAAAATGCACGCGCTCGCACGGTATGCGCGGAAATGTGCGCTTACGATAAAAGGAATATACGCTATTGGTCTTGTCTGCTAATTATTTATGACGCGTGCAGCGCGACGTTGTTTAGCAAATAAAATTGCCAGGATACATTGCGCAATAATACATATACATATATGCGTACATCATAAATGTTAAAATGTATTTCCTTTAATTGCGCGTAACAATCTTTTAATAATGATCGAATTTCGCGGAATTAATATTTTTCACATTGATATATTTCTTTGACATTTCTTATGAAATTTTTGAATTGTTTTATTAAAAATTAAATATATCATTATTGAATTAAGTTACAAATAAAATTGCAATTTATTTGTCAAAGTCAAATTGCGATCAATCAGATTTAATGTAAGTTTTACTACAAAAGTTGATAATCATCTTGAAATGTAGAAATTAATAATATCTTTGCTATATAAAGGTAAGAAGTTATATCCAAGTCACTCTTTAAAGTTACATTAAGTCATTTTAAGTATACTACTGCATTACGATTCGATCTTAAAGGTCAACACAAAGGCAAAATTGCGGCATAATATCGGACTAAAGACACGCGAGCACTGCCGACAGTTCAGAATCCTTTTTCTTTTGTCCCGTTCCTTTTTCTAATTTCTTGAAATTCATGGGAATTTTCAGCATTATGTTTAGTAGCATGCTCGGTCGTTTGACTTTTTGTACTGAATTTGTGTATACATGGACGTAATGTCAAATTTTTACATGCAATTTATTAAATTTTTACGATGGCGATATGCATCGTTACTCGACATCTGATTCGAATGTCAACGTGAAATCTTCAATTATAGCAATGTAGAGATAAGATTGACAGATAAGATTTTGCGACTAACAGTAATGACTTAAATGCTTGACGTAATAGTTAAAGATAAAATGCAAAAAATAGATCCCGAGACGTAAGTTTACAACTTTGTATATGATCTCATGCCGCAGGATGCCAGGAAAGCAGCATGCGACACGACCTTGGCCCAGGCCACATCGGGCATGGAACCTATCGGTCGCATACAAATGCGTACGAGACGTACGCTTCGCGGTCACTTAGCTAAGATTTATGCGATGCACTGGGGAAGTGACTCCAGGTATAATGTTAGCAAATGATTAGATGGTATACATTTGAAAATCTCAACGTAAATAAAATTCTATTTATAAATTCTGTGTGAAAGATAAAATTCTAGAAGAGAAAAACGTAGATATTTACTTAAATGTTGATTGATGTATATTTTTTTTTATTATCAAACTTAGAAATTTGAACAGTCATGCAAAGATGTTAGAAAGTAGATTTTTTCTCTCCCATCTTCATACTATGCTTTTGTCAACTTGCTCTTTGTATCTTCCATGTACAGGAATCTAGTCTCCGCATCGCAAGACGGCAAACTGATCGTTTGGGATAGTTATACCACCAATAAGGTTCACGCAATCCCATTGCGATCCTCATGGGTAATGACTTGTGCATACGCGCCCTCGGGTAGTTACGTAGCGTGCGGTGGGCTGGACAATATCTGTTCCATCTATAGCCTTAAAACTAGGGAAGGTAACGTGCGGGTAAGCAGAGAGCTGCCGGGTCACACTGGATATTTATCCTGCTGTCGATTCTACGACGACAACCAGATCGTTACCAGTTCCGGCGATATGTCTTGGTAAGTAAATCTAGAAATTTACTAGAAGTAAATTATAAACTTCCCCATAGCTCTTCATTAACTTTGATATCTAAAATTTTTATATATAAATTAATATATAAAATTTAAATTGTATTAATTTTTTTCTTGAATTTTTTATAATTTGAAAGCGAGCATTAAGAGATCATAAATATATGAATATATCAAAAAACAAAAATATAGCAAATATCTACAAAACATACATAAAAACAATATACAAAAACAAATATATATAAACAATATATTTATGAATATATATATAAAAAAAATTTTAAATGCGAAGCATTTTAATGAGTGCATAAAAGTTCGATAAAAATATGGTGATACTCGTAAGAAAAACATCATTCCTATTTTTTATCCCAAATCTCTTCCATCATTAAATGAAATCCTGAAGATTCCTGAAGATTCCTGAAGAACCCTTATAGAAGAAGCTTGCTTATTCGACGCAAACTAGAATGCTGAATTGTTCTGACTCAGTGCTTTATGGGATATCGAGACTGGCCAGCAATGCACCTCGTTCATCGGGCACACTGGCGATGTGATGTCGTTGTCGTTGGCACCGGATACACGCACTTTTGTATCTGGCGCGTGCGACGCCAGCGCAAAGTTATGGGACATTCGTGAAGGATCCTGCAAGCAGACTTTTCCGGGTCACGAGAGTGACATAAATGCTGTAACGGTGAGATACTTTTCAAGCGTGAGATACTTTTGAAGCGAATTACTCATAAAAAATTACTCTTTCGTGATGTTCTTACTATGTTTTCGAAAAATTCGAATTTATTATTTTTGACGATTTTATTTGTTATTATTTATAGTTCTTCCCGAACGGATACGCTTTCGCGACAGGCTCGGACGATGCGACCTGCAGACTCTTTGATATTAGAGCAGATCAGGAACTAGCAATGTACAGCCATGACAATATCATTTGCGGTATCACCAGTGTAGCTTTCAGCAAGAGCGGTAGATTATTGCTGGCAGGTTACGACGATTTTAATTGCAATGTTTGGGATTCTATGAAGACGGAACGAGCCGGTAAGTTGAATTGGTATCTCGCGAACGATAATCTCCTCAGGAGAGAAGAGAGATTTCATTCGAGGTCCTTCTCTCGATGATGACTTTTTTCAATGCGTTTATTATTTTTATTAACTTACTACTTTATTAAAAAGTAGACTCACTGCTTGATTGAAAATATATTTATGGGAAACTCTACCTTTGTGGTTATCATTACTTTATTAAAAATATATTTGTGGGAAACTCTCATTCTAGGAATTCTCGCTGGGCATGACAATCGCGTGTCTTGTCTTGGCGTTACGGAGGACGGCATGGCAGTAGCGACGGGTTCTTGGGATTCGTTCCTACGCATTTGGAATTAACTTGGGGCTCTTCCCAGGACGTTCCTTCAAAGAACCAACTACAGTCAACCAGCATACAGCATAAGAATCAAGTACCATCATCTAACCACTGAACAAATCGGCGTGCCAGCAGTCACGCTGGCGAATAATCCGCCAAGTTCACCGGAGTTGACGCTGATTAGAAACTTTGGATATCCGATTAGTAGCAGCAGCAGCAGCGGCAGCAGCAACAATAATAATTATGATCGTAGAAAGGTCCACGACAACAATGGCGAAGGTAACAGCAGCGGCGGCGAATTTAAAAATGTTTTGGATTGTGGTGGTAAAAAAGACTCCCGCAAAAACAGGCGCATCGTAGTCGACTTGACTTGGCGACATAGTAAAGTCGGCGACAAGGACCACGAATATCAACGTTTCTAGAAAGAATCTAAACTGTAATTGGATCGAATACGAAAACAAATTGTTGCCAAAAAATGTGCGGCAGAGGGCAAGAATCGAGAACGAGCGCCGACAACAAGACCGACAACCGAGAAGAACTATCTACGGCATCAGGCACGCATTTTCTTTTTCTTCTCCCCTTTCTCAAGGACTTTCTTCGCGAACCTTCGAGAGACACGTGCTGTTCTACGGCTTTGATAGTTCTTTCCCACGGGAGTATTTCCAGTCGAGGATTCCAAAGTTCGAAGGACTACAATCTCGTGCCGACGATCGTCGAGAGATTTTCATCTCGAATCGAGGTTCAAGCATTCACTGCCGAGAAGGCGCCGTTAACGACTGCTCCGGCAGTTGGCTGCGAGTTACTTTTCCCGATACACGATTATATCGGGCGGAATGAGATATGCTATGGATATTGCGTCGCAATCCGGTAATAAACGAACCAGCCAAAGGTCATGATAGTCCTGCAATGATACGTTTGAGTCATACGACGCACATTGAACGCACACGTGTATCAATGGAGATTCACAGATACACGAATTGCATAAACTTGCACATAAAAGCGAGTGGTCGAAATAAAATATAAGAAAGATGCGGATCGTTCACCAGCAGCCTCGAAATACATCCAAGTCGCACACACTTGTCACGTAAGCTTTGCCCTCGTGCACGAGCATCGAGCGGCCAAGCGAAGAAAAAAGAATAATGAGATGTCACTTTTTTTAACACAATAATACGCCGACTTCGCACCGCTATAACTATTATTACTATTATTATCACACCCCTCGATGAATTTCGTAGATGTATCGTTATTTATTTTGTATAGACTTCTGCCATAGGCCGCCCTGCGCCTGCGTTTTTTGCGAGTGCGAGAGCGATTGAGCATGTAGTAAAAAAGAATGAACGAGACTTATGAGAGCGTGAGAACGAGGCGCGAGAGGCGCACGGCCCATTGCCAATCAAAAAAACGAGGAACGGGACATGAGATACGAGACGCGCGGATAGAGCAAACGGATAAGAGGACGCTCCTTTGAATAAATATTTGTAATATGATAATTTGGTACATGAAGACGTTGACGGATCATATTTGTGCAACATCGCAAGAAGATGAGAAGTGACGGATCAGTGAGCGAGAAAGCAAATCAGGTATTGAATTTTGTCTGTTTTTTCATTGCGATAGAGTTACGAACGCGTGAAACGATGGACCAGCGTAACGTGTCAAGTAACGTTTAATATAACGTGTATTTGTTTAGTTTATAGTGTCTATACCTTAATCTCTTTCCCTTTACCCTCGATCCACTTATCCCTGATTGTGGCAACAGCGGGAAGAAGAAAAAGAATTAATCTTCGACTATGTCTCGACGAAGTCCCGTATCTCTTTCCACTATCGATTCAGCGCCAATTAATCCTCGTGCACGAGGCAGGCACGTGCTCTCGATCGAAAGAGTCGTGCTAGAAATTTCCTTGAAATAGGACCCAAAGAATTAGAGGTTGAATGAAAGGAGGACCGTGAGACTAAACTCTTCCCTTCCTCTCTTTTCGCCTTTCTATCGTCATTATTTTTTTACACCTCCTCTTCGCTCATCGCATTTTGTTGTTCACAATCTCTTTTGTAAATTCATATTTGTACTTTTTCAATAACTTTTAATCCCACATTTTGTATTCCTCCTTTTTCTGTGACCATCACTTTCCTCTCCCTTTCCTGCCTATTCTGTCCTTTGTCGGAAATAGATGTTGAAACTGTGTATGCATTTAAAAAATAATATTAATGATAACGATTATATAATATTAATATTAACGATGATTGTAATTTATAATTATTAATATTTAATATATAAGTATATAAGGTCGATGGTTCTTTAATATCGCAGGATTATGGTCCAATCGCCTTCCGGCAACCACGCTCATAGTTATTACGCGCGCGCGTTTCTTTTATATATATTTTTTTCTTTTTTTTATAAATTTTGTATATTTACATTAAATGTAGCGTTTAATTAATCGCATGCTATAGCGTTCTATTTTTAATTTGACGGGAAACAAATATCTCAGATTGATGGGGATCCTGTGCATTTTTTGTTTTAATAGATGAAAATAACGTAATTTGTACATGTTGGAGTATCATGATAGAAATTTTGGAGAATGTATCGAGTGCCGAAGCGGCTAAGATCGCGAGAATTGAGGAAAACAAGCGTGGATTCCGGAAAGCGACTATTTCTTCGAAAGATTCTACGAAAAACTTCTTTCCCGGTGGAACAAACCATGATGTAATTTGGCTAGCAGAGCAAGCGAGTACTAATGAGGACTTTGGAGAAACTGCAAATTTTCTGAAACATTTGACATTTCGTAAAATCGGTTCATTTTTTATATACACATATAACTCTTTGCGACTAATCTCGCTTACATAATGCTTTGTATATGTTAAATGTCAAACGAGCAAAAGATCTTTCTTCGTTTCGAAAGAGAAGATCCTTGTTCCTTCGATTCTTTGTATCATTAAGAATTCTTCCAAAGTTCGATTCGAAAAGCGAGAGGCAAAATCATGATTAAAAATGGCCGCTTTTCGGTCTTTCCGGCGTAACTTGGAAATGATATTCGTACGAAAAAGAATAATTTTAGAACAGAGAATTATGAAGGAAGAGGAGACTTTAATAAGCAAATTGATGGAAACAGATCTGTGCTTATATATATTGCATTTCGCGATTCTGTGGCCTCCCCCGAGGAGGCTCTCTCAATCTTTTTGTACCTTGAAGTCTTGAAACATTATGGTTTCTTATTCTTGGTACGATAAAGAAAAAAATATAATATAAATCTATCGACAAATCTAATGCAAAATTGACAAATTATTAAGTCTCTAGTCATATTAACAGCACGCGCGCAAATAAAAGAATGCAAAAGAAAAATAGGTAAAATTTTGTAAGCAAAAACCTTTTTCCAAAACCTCTTTCTCCTTGTTTGCGCAAGATTAAAGAGAAAACCGACTTTAATTTATTTATCTTTCTCAAAAAAATATGGCACACACGATAGATTTTAATTGCGACGCAGGAGAAAAAGTAACGGCGAGAAAATAACTGATGAAATCAGGCTTTTCTTCTTTTTTGAGCCTTTAAAAATATAATATAAGATGAATAAAAATACTTGGGAAAAGAATCAAACGTGGCGTTTCCGTTATTTTTTTATCGCTTCTTCGCTTTCTGTTCCCTCCCTCCGTAAACGATACATTTGCACATTTTATAGTTTCATTATCCCGATAATTTTTCTATGTTTTAGTTTTGAACGTTCGTACACTTATTTTTCGCTAGACACATCAATTAATTTCGTAAAGCAACATCCTGCTAAGGCGAGTGGTCTAAGGGATTATGTGATGTTGGGTCCTATTTCAACCATGGAATAATCGTCACTCTCTAGTATAAACATAGTTAATAAAAAGGAGGAAAAGGAGGAAAGAAAGGGAAGAAACGCGAAGAGAATGTGCCGACGACACTTTCGTGACTTTTAAGATGGACGACGAGGAGCCGTCAGGAATACTGCCTCTTTCAAGTTATGCACAAAAAAAAAACATAAATTACGATATGTAGTACGTGTATATTATACATAAAAAAAAATACATTAAATAACCGTGCAAACCACTGTTAAAGTTAAAAAGAAGGAACGCGCAAGAGGACGTGGCCGTGCGACGTGCAAGACAACTAAAGACGTGGAGTGAAAAAGTGCATCGATGAAGATCGAGTGCAAAGTATCGGTGAACATTAATCTCGGGAGAGGAACGTACATTCGACTCAGTAACTGAGAGCAAAACACGTCTTCACTGTTAAATGGTAGATAGTTACAAAGAGATTTCATCACTTTTTTATATATAAAAAGATTATATATATACATATATATATATACGTATATAAAAATAATGATAAATAATTAATCACTATTGACAGTTAGCCTAGGTCATTTCGCCTATAGTCACTTGCATGGAAGACATTCCTACGAGGCATGCGAAAATTTCAAGAATCAATTTTCAATTGGCCAAAATTTTCTATAATAATATGAACAGACGCAGACTAATTTACTAATTAAATATGAATCGTTTGTCTTTTTTTTTTTTTTTTTTTACGATATAATTGTCATATCTTGGAGACCTCGTGGATGTGTCCCTGTCGCGGAATTCATCGTCATTCGCATTCTTCGTTAAGAAGAATTGTTTCGGAAGAGAATTGTAATCTGTTTATGGATAAAACACAAAGAAGGAGGACAGTGTCATCGAGTTACAGCGATGGATAATTGTATTCGAATTGGAGTCAAGTTTCAAAGTTTTTCTTTCTCCCTACATCGAGTCATTCCATTCCATCTCTAAATGTTTTTAATATAAATCTATCTTTACACAAACACACATACACACATACTTATATACGCATTATTTCTACCGCAAGCTACGCTGGCTTTCGATATCTGTTTATACCTACACTTTCACAGAAAATTTATCAAAATAATGTAATATGTCTAATAACATTCCGCAATAGAGAGAAGTTTAATCGCGAAATATAATCTGGAAATGATTCTTTCGAGCACAAAAGTCATCTGTCCGTATTCATTCATCAGATAGATCATCTACTTAGAAAGGTAACCGCAATTAAGGAGAGAGAAGCATGGTTCATAATTAGTATCATCGCAATTAATATCATCGTCTCAGAGCGTCATTGTATCTATATCTTCAATATAATCGCGGTTTCAAAATGACGTAAAATAAAAAAAGATACCGGACTGGGGCGATTAATTAATTAATTAATTACATCATTTCACGAAATTCCGCGACTTTGCCTGTGAAAGAGACTGCAGTACGCGAGAATTGTTTGGTGTTTCTTTCGCGCATCTTTCTTTGTGCATATTTAAGATTGCGGGATAAATAAAGCACATAAACTTAACGAATGCATTTCGGCGGAAATATTTCAATAAATCTGCAATAAAGGTAGAAGCTGCGCAAAAATATGCTTTGTCGGTCGCAAGAGAAAATAAATATTAATTGCGTATTTATTTATATCTCACACATTGCAATTATTTCATTGCGCATTCAAATGCGTAACGCTTATTAAATATGCCCAGAGAAAGTGCATCGCAAATGTCACACATGTCAAAAAGACGAAGGTCACGTTTGCATAGTGTTCGATAATAATATCTTTCGAATTTCAATGTCGTATCCTAATTTATTTATAGTCATTGACGAATTTCTTTAAACACACACATACGTAAATATACCTAAGAGGGTGTGCAAACGATAATGCGTATCCTTCTAAGCGAATCGCGATTCTGAAACACGAGCTTTTGTTACTACTTGTAAACTCGATTCCTTCGCAGCATTTCTCATTAACATTAACGTGATTCTATAATAACGAGCCGACATTCTAATGAAGAAACGGCATTTTTATGAACTTCATTAGATATGATTATGGTTTTGTAAAGTTTCCTTTAGACGCGCCTTAAAAATCGTCTAACGATTTTTACGTGATTTTATTGTAACTTAGTGCTACGAAGGTCTGGTGCGTATGATCTGCAATCATGAAGGAGAAAAACGGGAAACCGATGAACTCGTATTTTTATGCGCTTTAACTTTTTCACGTTTCTTAATTGAACAATTGATGTAACGGTAACTATGTTTAAGATTAAAAAAAAAATATTTTAGCAAGTTTTTAATATCGGATACACACATAGATATATATATACACACACATATATATATACATATAATATTATTCGCGATGATATTCGTTGAACATATCTTTGAAAGAAAAAAAAAATTTTATTCGTACACTCTAAATATAAATTCATAATACGTTGCTTTACTTATTTCTTTTCAACTCTTAGGTTTTCGCAATATTACAATGACAATCTTGTTAATTACGAAATGATTATCTCGAAGTACAAAGCTTATCAGAATTTATCGGCGAGAACGCATCATTAATCGCGCTCTTTTAAGAAATAAGGATGTATCGCTTTAGTTATTAACTTACGACGAAGCTTCGTCCGAAACGGGAACAAAAGTAAGGGAACGGCGAAAGAAGATTTATTTTTATTGCATCAGAGCAAAAGACTGACGCGTGTTTTTTTAATGTCAAAGTGAGATTTGAGCAATCTCTTATATAATAAAAGCCAAACTGCAAAAGAAAAAAAAACAGAGGAGAACGTGACAGGTGTGACAAAGTTCTGTTGCTTCTGCTTCGTGATTGCAAATTACGATAACCGGAATTATATGTCTGTTACGGTGTCGCGAGAACAATTGCTTCTTTTATATGCTGTTGAGGAAGAGGACGGAAAAATAAGGAGCATCCTTTCCGGATACGGCGCCGTTCGATTTTAATATCGACGAAACTGTACGTAATCGACGATGAGAGGTCGATTGTGGCCCTACGATAAGGGACAAAAAAAAACAGGAGAAACCAAAGCGGCGGACTTCCCAACTTTTTGGAAAGAGAAACTTAGCGCGTAAGATACTCTCTGTATAACGTAAGTCATAAGTCGTAAAGTATAAGGGCTGTAACGCATCAACTAATCATTAACCGCGACGAAAACAACCACACAACTATTATCACGATAACGATACGATAGTACGAGGGGATAAGCCCAAAGAGACGTGCGGGGTGTCGATGAGGCGCTCGATCGATGAACGCGACAAAAAATCGTGCGTTCAAAATCAAAGGAAAATCTCGTTCCGATCTTCTCAGTCTCGATCATCGATCGTTCCTTATCGACGCTCTGGATACGTTTTAAAAACATAACTTACAATTAGGGAGCAAACGGGAGAATGCGAGCGAGCGAGAGAGAGAGAGAAAAGAATTATCTATGAGAGAACACAAGTAAACTACTGTAAGAATGAGTGAGAAAAAGAAAACAAAGATGCATACAAAGGAAAAAAAGGAAAAAAAAAACAGAATATCAAATTTTATTTCTGCGTGCCTGTGCGGAGAGGACAGCGAGGTGATATATACGTGCATATTTATAAATCTATTACTATAAACGATCTTAGCGGAAGGTATGTAATCCGTACGCTTGTTTGAAAGAAGGAGAGAGGGGGGATACACGTTCCTTATTATTCCCTGCATAAATATGTTGTAAACAAAACGGGAGGGAGACGATGTGGAAAGAAGACGAGAGTCGTGACTCGTGAAGGGATGAGTGGGGGAGGAGGGACAATTTCGTTATGTGCGCGCGGCATCACACTCTATATAAATCTAGTATAATATCAAGAGCTTTTTGCCAAGTGACAAGGTGGTAGCTTCTGCGGGTATAAACGGTCCAGATTGAGATCTTTCTGGAGGCCACAGGCTGAATAAGAGACGAGAGGATAAAGAGATAATATATTTAAACGTGACAGACTATCGTTTCTTTCGCGTGCGACCGATTATCATTGCGCATATAATTACGGATTAATTATTATTACCATTATTAATTACGGCCCATTGACATCACCGCCATCGCGTCTCATTATTATGATTATTATTATTATTATTATTATATAATTGATGTGAGTGTGGAACACAAAAATAAAGTGTACGTAGTAGAAGGTCGATCTGTTCCACCACCTGTCTCGTTTCTTTCTCGTTTCGTAATCCTCGAATACACGAAATCGATCTTACGACGTGTGTGGTTAAGCATTTATTTCAAATAGAAAAAAATCGTGTGTCGAACATTCTACACTTAAACTAGCGAACATATTTTTTTCATCTACAGCAAATCATGTATAAAGAATCTCGCTTTCTTACAAATTCTGTCAGTTTTTCTCATTGATATACATAAAATACGTTAATTATGATTATCGATTTGAGGATAATATAGTAAAAGATTAATTCGTTCTAATTTTCCTGTGCAACTTGCATTTCTATACTTTTTTTTATCGCGGCACATTCGCGTTTCTCCTTTAATAATACACACTCTTCTTTACATTTTGCGTTGTCTAATGTACATGACATTGAAAACATTTCGGTCTTTTCTCCCTCCGTCAAATTAATTGCGTTTTTATTAACATGGTTTTCAGAATCTTCAGACATCGTAGGCGTTTCCTCGACCAGCCTAAAGACAGCCTGTTAAGGTAACGTTATAAAATAATTTTATAAGATTTAATGACATATTTAAATACTCGAAAAGTGCAAAATGATTTATATAATTTTATAGATATATAAAAATATGTGCAATTATTTTTTGTTGCATACTAACATCTTTTTTGTAACAATCGGAAACATTTTGAGAAGTGTGCGATTTTTCTTCTTGTTTTAAAATTGATTTAGAATCATTAGAAATTGCAGGATTTTCAGATATCACTTCAATCAGTGGTTTAACTGATTTTTTTGTCGGATTCGATTTCTGTACTGATTTATCGTCGGGTAGCTTTTCTTTTGATCCTTCTTCTCTTTCTATTATAAAATTTGATTTAACCAGCAGTTTCTTTTCGCTTTTTAACTTTTGCAGATGATCGCAAAATTCTTTGTAAAGCGATGCGTCAGCATTTATGGACGATGATTCCGACTCACAGATGCTTTCAGATTGTCGTAAAATATTGCCAAGCGATTGAATATCTAAAACATATTTTTATATTATTAAAAAAATATATTGTAATATCAAAAATATATTCATAATATATTTTTTTAATTATATATTTTTTAAATCATTTATTTACATGCTCTTACCAGAATCATTAGCTGATAATGAATCAGATTCCGAATTGATTGTTTGCTTCAATTCTTGTTTTCCAAATTGTACGTTTATGACATTATCAGATTTATTGTCATATTTATCGGACCAATTATTTCCAGAATCACCTGCGGGTTTATTAAGATCCATTTTTGAAACGAAATCGGATGGCAAATATTCTCCGAGACTTCGCCGTTTGTATTTATGATATTGCGATCTTCTGTCTACATTTTCTGAGTCTTTGATCAAATTCGTTATGCATTTATCGATCAATGGCGATACTTTCTTTGCAAATTTTTTCGTCTCTTGTATCATGTGTTGTCTGCATTTTTCGGAGATTTGACTACGAGATTTGCGTTCCTTCGATTTTCTTTCGGATTTTACTTCCTCAATGAGAAAGGATTTCTTGTTATTGATTTCGACATCTTTGATTTCGAGTGTTCTCTTACCAGTCAGTCTCGAAGGCCGTTGATTCGCGTTTTTTCCCAAAGTTAAGCGATCTATCGCTCGGATCAGCGACTCCATTTGAGAATTAGATTCCTCGGTATCAGATGATAATTTCTGCTCGCTGTTTGACATCTCCATTTTAACAGAAGATTCTTCTATTTTAATGACTTTTTTGTTTTCGCAAATTAAATTATTGCGCTCTTTGTTTGAAATTATTTCGCACTCATCTAAATCGACATTTTCATTTTTATTTGAATCGACAATTTTATCCTCTGTGTTGAACAATCTTAGAACTTCTGGTGATTCTTGATCGGTTTCCAAAATTTCTTCTACAAGAGACGTTGCTGTCTTAAAAGAATCATCGTCAGATTCGTCGATGTTTTTCTTCATTTCTGAAGGTGTTAGTAAAAGATGGTTAAACTTGTCTTCCAAATCTTCGATTTTCGAATAATTCTCATTAGTCTCTAGTTTTTTGCATTTCGAGGATTCCTCAGCGGAATCAATAAGATCTGTCATATTGATAATTTGAGGGATATTTTTTTGTTTTGTGTCAATTGTTGATTTTTCGGAATCCAGTTTCTCTTCCAGAATCATCAATTCGCTTGAAACTTTCGATTTGTTTGTTTCTTGGATATCTCGATTTCTTAGTTCAGCAAAGATACTGCTAAATACTCCGCATGATTTTTCTTGTGATTCTTTTTCAGATTGCTCGCATGTGTAATTTTCTTCATCTTTCACGGAGTATGTTTCCGTTGAATCCGGAAAATAGCTCGGGCAAGTCTTCATTGTCATCAAATCGTAGACGTCTTGAAAATTGTCCGCAGTATCCATTACTTGCATTCTATCTTCTAATGAAGAACAATTGGAATTATTACTCGTTGCAGCATCTTTAATCTCCACTTTGTGTTTCCTCGCTTCGTCCTCTCGTTGTCTTATAATCTCCCTGACCTTCAGATTTCTCTCCTTGGTATTCCACCATTGTAATTTATCTTCCTTGCTCGTGGGAACCTCGGTCTCGGTTTCTTGGATCTCGCTATCATCAATAGGATCAGTTTGCAGATTCTCGTCCATCTTTTCCTTGCCCCAGAATCCTTCCACCTCGCCATTTTTGAACACTATCTTGTTTTCGTCAACAAACTTGTCCATTCTATCGCAGAATTCTCGCATCTCTTCGCGAATACTGCTAAGTTTAGAACCGAATGGATGTTCTTTACTTTTTCTTTGATAGCTCTTGATATTTTTGCTCGACGCATCGTCTGTCATGTCGGTGATCGCGCTCGTGAGTTTTTCATTCTCTTCTAACGTTTGCTTTAGATCCGCTGTGTCGCTTGATACGGAGCAGGTAGATGTTTTTTCGTTTTTACGATCTATGAAAAGCGGTTTTAAAATTGTTAAGCTCAGTGTCAAAATAATTTTTCAATCATGGTATAATATAATATAAATCTTTTATATTGTTGAAAAAAATTAATTAATTAACGTGTAAGCTTACTTACCATTTGTTTTATTATTATCATTATCAGTCGATTTTTGCGAATTTGATATTTCTTCTTTTTCCGTTGCTGACTCTAACAATATTTTTTTACAATTAGTGACTTCTCTACCTACGATATAATCATCGAGTGGATCATGTATGCTCTTACGATCGTCCAAAATCTGTTTCCCGTGCAAATTTTCCTCCGCGTCATCGGCAATATATTGTTTGGACTCCGATACTTCTTCGATCAACTTTTGCGGCTGGATCTTTTCTGGAGCCACCTAATCACGAAAAATAGGAGAGTAACCTTTTATTTTTTTCTAATTTGGATTTATTATAAAGTGATAAAAATTCTACCTCGGTTTTCCAGGGCAACAGAAGCTCCGCGTTGGTTTCATCGGAGACTTTTCTCTCTTCCTCCGCCATTGGCCTCCTTCCGTCACTTTCCTCGCCTCCTTTTTGCCGCGTACATTCGTTTTCTTCGTCGCTCGCGAGCTCTTCGTCCGACGAGGATGAGGAATCGAGGAAGGATCGCCCCTCGGACTTTTTCTTTCTCTCCAGGTCGAGCTTCAGAATGTTCATCGTGGCCGGCATTACGGGTATAGAGAGGTGTGGGGGTTTCACGTGGTGAATGATCAAATAGTCGACGGGACCGATGGGTGATGATATTATTCAAAGCACGAATTCTGTACCAGACCTTGACGAAACTAGTTCTTACCAGACCGCGGCTCCTCGTTGTGGTGTGCGCGCTTGACTTCGCGACAACTTCTTCGTCCTTTTCTTCTTTCTCCTCCTTCTCCGTCTCCTTCTTCGTATCCACCACCTCCTTTTCGGACATCTCAACCGGTTTGCACAGCTTCCTTTTGTTTATCAGGGCTTTCGAGGGCAGACGCGGCAATCGATAGGTAAACAAAGATCCGAGTAACAGGTGAAAGGAGTCAGGGACCAAGAACGATCATTTCGTATCTGCCTTCGGGAGTAATCGAGAAGAATATTCCTTACTCACCCATAACGCTGTCGTTTATCTTCTTCTGTTCCGCCTGGATCCACCGGTTTCTTTCGGCCATCTCCTCGTCGACACCACCGCGCATCCTGGACCCAGAGATATTTTAAGGATAACGATACCCGTTTCGCCGATACTCGTTTTTGCTGATAGATTTACCAGGCTTCGGCGCAGGCACGATCGCGCGGGAACACCGGCCGATCATCCAGGTACTGTAGATTCTTACACTTCAGAATCATAGTTTTGCGGTACATCTTTATCTCCTTCAGTACGGGGTTACCGGTTAACGTTACGACGCGCAGCGTCTTCATGTCTCCCAGAATCTAAACAATCCAACTCGTGCTCGCGCTTTCGAAGAACGTGACATCTCTATGTCTCACAAAGATATTTTGTAACATGATTCACCGTGTAAGTGAATTCTTTTATCTTTTGCATCGTTAAATTCAACTCGAAAAGAATCAAGCGAAAATTCACATCAAGTTTTGATGAACGCAATTACAATGATATCGTGTTAATAATTTTTTATCAAAACTATAGAGAGTGAAATTTATGATAAAATTGTTATAACAAAATTGTTTACACATCATGTGTGGAAATTCGCTTGTGTAACGTCACCTGCCGTTTCAGAAATATACTCCGGTTTATGCATCTCGCGTGCGACGCGCGTAATTATCGACTTACGTCAACGACGTCGCAGGTGTTGATCTTGTTGTGAGAGATATCCAAGATCGAGAGTGCTTGCAGCAGACGGAGATGCTCGATGTCAGCGGTTTCTCGCAGATAATTATGCGACAGGTTCAGGTTGTTCAGGAACTTGAGACTGTCTGAAAAGCAGAGGCACGTCAAGGTCAAGGTCATCCGGGATATTACTCGTTTTCGATTCGAGTCACCGAGATTCTCGATCCTCCGTATCGTGTTGTGCGAGAGATTCAGGGTGTCGAGCTTTGTCAGATGGTCGAGATTCTCGATCTTGCTGATGAGGTTGTGGTGCAGGAACAGACACTTGAGTTCGCTCTGATTTTCCAAATTGGCGATCTCGCGTATACCGTTGCTCTCCAGCCACAGGCACTTGAGGCCTGTATATTTCTCGAGATTCTCGATGAAGGAGAATCCTAAAAGAAAGAATGGCAATTTTTTTCATCACAGGGTGTATGATTAAATCTATCGCACGTACCCTTGTAATGCAAATAGAGAACATCGTTCAAATGGGGCGTCTGATAGAGTTTCTGTTCCTTGCAATGCTTCCTGATCAGTTCCTCCGTCATTCTTGAAATCATTATTATTTGTAATGATATTATTGAAAATATGTGACAAGTTTTTGTGATAATTTTATAGACTCACCTAATGCCGTGCTTTTTCTCATCGAAATCGTATACCTTTCCTTTGATGTATGTTCTTTCTGGTTCCTTCAAATTTTCCGAGAAAGAGTCATCAGATTCCGAATCGATTTTGATTGTTGTTGTATCACTCATCATTACAGACATTTGATTCAATTCGTCGCTTTTATTTTCGTCATTTTTAGATTGATTTGCAATTTCTTCATCCGTTTTTTCGTTATAAATTTGCTTAGCTTCAGATTCTAAAGTCGCTTGCTGAATCTCCTCTAAATTCGTAGCAATGATTTTTTGGTATTCATCCATTAGTTTCTTGTGCTCTTCCATTTCATTCGCGAGTTCCTTTTCCAACTCCTCGATTTTCAAATTCTCGATTATTTCGGCTTTCGTTAGAGGAACCACGACATTTTCACGATCGTCCTGAAAGTCATCGAGACTATCGGAATCGTTGGCGAAATCCTCCGGAATTTTGAATTCACGAGGATCTTTGTCAGACGTATAAGAAATATCGTAACGATCAGCAATGAATTTGTCAATCTGCTCGAATTTTTTCGATAGAGTTTCCAACGAGTCCTTCTTTCGATCTTCTATCTTTCTTTTTTCATCCGCTATCTTCTCCAAAGTTTCATGAATCTCGATATGCGATCTAGAGCGATCTGAACACGTGATTTCGGCTAATTTTTCTAAATTGCTATTAATAGAATTCGATTTCGATGCAATGACTTTTTCAATTTTCACATTTTCTAAACTTATTTCTTTATTCTCAACAAAATTATTTTCTTCCCTATTTATTGTTTTGCATTCTTCATCGTTTACCTCTTTTGTAAATTTTTCCATTAAATTATCTCTAACGCAATTCTCATTAACGCTTGCTTCCGACATGTCAGGATATGGATCAGTTAATATTTTCTCCGCTTCTTTGATGGTTTTTAATATGTCCTCTTTCTCTATGGCAGTATCAGAAATATCGCGATAATGCGAGAAAAGTTTGTTTTCTTGAAAATTCTGAATCATGTATTCGCTACTTGATTCTTCAAAATTGAGAGTCGAATTTTCGCGTATCGACAAATGTTGCTGAAAATCTGGGAAAACATTGGAGCAGTTTTCCATTATCTTCCGCATCACATCATCGGGATCGTTTTCCAATTCTGCGGATAAACTCTTTACCATTCGTTCTTCCACCGAATCGTGTTGTTCGTCATTGTTTGTATACAAAAGATTCTTGATTATCTTATCCATTTCTTTTATTTCCGTCATTGTTCTTTCTATATTGTCTTCTTCAACGTTTAACATGTGCTTCATATTTTCTCCTGTACATTTCAGTAGATCGATGGCATCTTTGAGATAACTCTTGTTATTATCTGTATAATAATCGTTGGACTCTATATTTAATTCAATTTTATTCTCTATATCTAATTCTTTGATATCTCGAGGAGGATTTTCGATACACGAGGTAATATTCCGTTCAAGTCTCGTTTCTTTATTTTTAATCTCTTCCTCAATGTAATTATCAACAACTTTATCATCATTATCTTCTATATTTATACTATTTAAAGAAATCCCTGAATTGACAAATTTCTCTCCACTATATTTAACTCGAATATTTTCGTCCGCTCGATCGATACCGCCGAAATCTTTTGATAAAGAATTTGTGTATCGATTATCTATCAGGAACTCCTCTTTAATTGTCTTTTCACCATCCTTGGAATCTTCTCCCTGGATTGTCGTGTCGTTGTATTCGAGATTGTCGCCCATAAAAACATTGCACTCGCTTGTCATGCTAGAATTGCAATAAGATGGATTTTCATGATTTAAATCGAACGTATGATCGTAATTTGAGGAAACTGTTGGGGCATCGTCTTCATTGACGTCGTTTGTTGTTTCTATTTTCTCACTTCCGCATAAATTTTCGCATTTCTCTATTTCAGATTGCGTCTTCGAGACGAGATCCCCCGTGATGGGATCTGAAATCTCGAGCTTTGCCGGATAATCCCTGACGATCTTTGCAAATACGAATTTATTAATTTCCTTCATTTACAAGCGCATGATTTGACAAGAAATGAAATCGAAACGTTTAATATCTATTTTTTTAATAACATAAGCGACAATTATATTATTAAAAATATTATACAATATTTTAAAAAAATGAGAGGCAGCTTTAATTATATTAAAATAGAGATTATATAAAATACCTCTCTCACTTTTTTTAAAAATATTAGATAATATATAAAAAATATTTTTTACAGTACAACTGACCTTGTTTCCAGATATAGAAGATATATTCTTATAAGTAAGAGAAACTTCACTTTTATCCTCTATTAGAGGACTGAACGAGAGATCACATGAATCATTCAAAGCATTATCATAGCGTTTGAACGAGTCCATGATTGAAAGCAGTTTCGCGATCGAATCTTTTTCTTTCAGAATCTACGAAAACGTGAAATATAAATTGCAGACTCTGTGAATTGACGCGAGTAAAATCACTGAAAACAAGCGCGTGGCGCCATGTCAGTTATCGGTTGTTTAATCGATAGGGTTGACTATCTTCGCGTTCTTCAACGCAGACGTCATAGACTCATAAAGGATTATTTTTTCAATTTACCAATTTTTAATCGAGAGGATTAAATATTATTCCCGATGATGTATACATCGTAGCAAATAAAAGTCATGAAAATTGAGCGCGAAATTTTATTATCGATTCGATCTCGCGTTTACATCCAATCTGTCATCGGGTCAGTCGTCCTCGCGCTTTTCACGCGGTGGAAACCTTGCGTCGCGTCGCATTCGCATCTTAATGCACGACTTGGAGAAAACACCAACGAGCAGATTGGCATAGATGATCGATCACGCGCGGCGGTATGCAAGCACAATGTTATAGGCGGTTACGGGGTGTCTCGTCCGCGATATCTATTCGTCAGCGATCTTCTCTCGCTTTGTTTTTCGTTGCGTCTGAGGATATACTCGGCACACATGGGATGGGTGCCGCTTGTTTTTCCTCTCTCGGTTTCAGACACCGCTCTCGTCCCTCGTCTCATCGTCGTCGTCGGCTCGTCGCTAGTCGGCGAGAGCGATGATGGTTCCCTATCAACATAATCCAGCGGAAAAGAGACGCCCGGTGGCGATTCGCAAATGTGCCGCGCCGCAGATCACGGGATGGGCAGGTCTGGGGATCGTGATAGCGGGAAATCGCGACGCATACATACAAATATATACATTTACACACGTGACTCCTCGCGAGTCCATGCGAATTCTTCTCTTTCTCGCGCGCGCATAGATTCTCCTCTTTTATTTTTCCCCTTCGAGGCGCGACGCACGGTCGTCTACTTTCTGCGGAGACGCGTCTTTTTGCGCAGCAGCTGCGACTCCGCGCCTAGAGAGTACTATGTAGAAAAGGTGAAAAGCCAAGAAAATTTAATCGACTTCATAGTCGCGGAGCGAGGCTAACTTGGCAACCGATGTTGATGCAACGGTTTCGATTGCATCGAGATCAGTGTTGCAATTAATTAATCCCAGTTAGCTACCTTTTTAGTTGATCAAATCGTGACAATCTTATTTAACTGGTCTTTCTTCAGATTTTTCCTTCGCCGCTCTTGTATTAAAATCACGAATGCAAATTATCCGATTTTTTTAATTTATATCATTTTCTTATCCAATTTTGGATAAAGATTCTATGCCAGAGATGCAAACGCGATAGCGATAGTAAATCTCGTCAAACTTGAGCCATCAATTCACCAAAAGTAGTAAATATATTTATAGAAAATTTTTAAATTGTAAAACAACCTGAGTCAGAAACTGCATTCATGCAATTTAACATAAGAGCGACTATACTTCTTAGTCTTATTTATAGCGCGCAGACTTTAAAAAATAATTATATCTTTCCATTTATATCGCGCAAGATTGTTACCAGTATTCATTGGATTTTCTCGATGTTTCTCGGTCGATTCTGCAATCGACACAATAATGCGTGCCTTACGTCACAGTGGAACGCACTTTTTCGCGGGTCGGCTCGGTGAACGGTCCGGTTTCGTTTGCAATGCGCATTATTGCGTCACGCGCAGGATAGACGACAGTTGAAATCGTTAGATAGTCACAGGATAGAAAATTCTAGTCCTTGCTCTAATTATTAAAGTTTAAGGCCATGTAACAGTCGATTATAGAATTCCGATGTCGTGATATCGGATATGGTGTTGTCTCGTTGCCGCGAGAGAAAATTTTGATTAAAAATATACTTGGCCGGTTACTATTTACATACGTGTATATAGACATTATAATTCCTATCTTGATTATTTGCTGACACGGAAACGCGAGAGGCCTACACGGAAGTTACACGTGTACTTGACATTGCGTAATATGATCTCTTTCGATAATTGACAGGCGGGTAATATTATGTTCCGAATGTATCAATCAATATTTTATAATGTTAAATATTATTTAATCAAATCGAGTGAAAAGTTACCACAGTGTGCACGCATAGACAATTCAATATTCTCTCACATTCCTTGAAAATTAATCGACACTTTATCGATTGCTGTATAATTTTAATCGCATATCATATATATGCATTAATTTTTTAAAGGATATTTAAATTCGGCAAGCTGTATTTTGTTATAAGATTGATAATTAAATAGGATGTTATAGATCGATCTGTTTCCATAATTTTAATTTTGATTTCAAAAAATATTAAAAATTTTATATTTCCGGGAATTTTTTAAGAAACTTATAATATATCGTTTTATTCGCTAAATCATTGCTTGAAAAAGTCAAAATTCTTTGTTAATTGCATCAGGAGATCGTATTTAGTAATAATCGTATTTTAAGTCATCCCGTTCACTTGACGCTTAAAAGCGCGATAAATGAAGATAGACGGTCGATCTTCCATCTCGTTCGACTTTGCAGGACTTCTCCGACTTTCATTGTCATCTAAAAATACATTCCGCAACGCGATCGGATCGGGATGCGATCGAAGATTGCAGTGACAGATATCAATTTTTGGCACCGGTCAAGAGCTTTACCTTTCGCGAGACATCTCGAGTGACCGTGACCTCGAGGATTCCTCATAGCGACGAACATATGAATACGTACTGGGTGTACTATTGAATTTTTATATAAATAAATGTCACACGAGACATAAACTACTCTCGATAAATTCCTAAACTTTTCAATTAAGATGCAGAGAAAATTGATTTCAGGGGGAATTTATTAATTTTATTTTGAAAAAGAATTTATATATGATAAATTGTTTTACACAAGTTTTTTTCAAGACTTATATAATCTTATAAATTACAGATTAGGAGTATATTATTTTTAGAAATTTTAAAATCTCGAATCAATATTATTTCAAAAGTTTCAGAGACTTGTAAGATTCGATTCAGAGTCATATAGGAATTCTTTTAATAAAACTATTTATCATACGCTCGTGTTTATGTGACGCTCGCGACACCCCTTATATCGTGACAAGCGTACCTCATGACACGCTCTTATAGGACTGGGATCGCGATTCGAATGTATTATGTAATTGACGACGATCTTCGGTGCGGGAGCTTCTCCATGCCGGCTTTTTGAAAAGCAAAGTAGCCGTGGGTGGCCATCTCCTTCTCCTTGCGAATGCAGGATCGTGCGCTGAGGGTGGAGGAGGTGGAATCGTATTTGAATACGCTTTGAATCGATGATCGGGCATGAGTGTCTAGACGTCACGCATGAAATTTGTCGAAAGACCGTTTAAAGACCGCCGAAGCGGGAAGATTCACGACCGCGGTTAAAGGATTATAAAGTGTAATCGTTCTCTCGTATCAGCTGATTACCGCCGACCTGTCAATATAATCGATCATCAATGTTTCAAGACATGTGATTCAATGCTTTTTGAATGCGTTTTTGGTTCATCACTAATGATCAAAAGACCGCAAATTTTTTATATAAACATATATATATATATATATATATATATATATATATATATATATATGTGTGTGTACATCATATGCAATGAGTAGACTTTTCGAATTAATCATTTCATGGAAAACTATTATATTATTTTCATATCTATGAAAAATATTTATTCTTTTTTTTCTTTAATCTGTTCTCTGTATTAAGTTGTAGATAATTTACATATTTTTCAGTACAGTATAATCAGATCGAGAATTTTAAAATTCTATTTCATCGAATCTTTTATTTAATTAAGATATGTAATCAAAGTCTTTAATTTTACGAATAGTATTTTACGAATAGTATTTTATGAAAGTAAGTAATTAAATACAATATATTGAATGATTCAAGTACTATTATACTTAACGTATCTTTTACTATTGAATTTCATCTACAAAGAACCAATACGAGAAGTGCAATATAGACGAAAATACTTTATGGCCCTCAGGAAGAATAAAATTTATAACATAATTAGAATAAACATAGACATGTATAAAACAAACAAAATAATCTACAAAATAGAAAATTATATATATATATATATATATATATATATATATATATAAAAATGATATATATAATTATATATAATTATATATAATTGTTTTAAGAAAGAAATAGGAAGATTAATCGGTTCTTTCTTTTAAATAAAAAATTTAATGGAAAATATATATTATTAAAAAATAAAGATATTGCACAGAGAAATTACAAAATCAAAATCAATGGATACATTTAAACGTCGATTCCACGTTACGCTCGAATACGATGTTTGCAACAGAATGATGCAGAGTCGTCGACATTCTACGCGTGGCGGGAAAACGTGTCTGTACTGCAAGAAAAGCGTTTATTATCCCGACGCGATCAAGCATCGAAAGGGAGAATAAGGGAATTTGATGTCGATGTAAAGAAAACCGCTGCGAGGAACATCGATTTGTTGTCATCCTCGAACGAGATTTAAACCGCACGTGTAAGTTCACCTCAATTTATAACGGGTAACAAAATTGTGAATCTTTCTAGGTCATCGAACAGGAATCGGTAAGAAAAGACTGTTGACAAAAAAGCGGCTCGTGAACGAAAGAGCAACTATATATTTCAGAATAAAGCAAATTTTAGCACTATTAACAAATAATATATTGCACTTGATAATTTACTAAAGACCTTAGAGAATTGGGGGATTTATTATCATTACGATTTATTATCATTTTATTGTTGTAAGGATCTAAAAATGAAATGATAAAATATAAAATATTCTCTCAAGTAAAACTTTTAGAATATTCTTGAAATCTTTTTTTTTGGCAAATGTAGTCAAAAACTATTCTTTGCTTTTAAATATATTTTATAAACGAACAATTGTAGGATATTTAAAAAAATATTTATTCTTTATTATAAAATTTCTTTTTACACATCTCATGAAGAATAATTATTTTTTTAAAGAAGTCTAAAATGATTATAGTGGATTTCCA